TCACACCCTCAAAATTCATTTATTTCAAAATTAAAAGTGAGAACAACATGACAGAATGTTAACTGATTCTTTTTAATAGTTTTCTTTTTAAATGAAGTAACCCCTTTAACATAAGCCTCTCTTTTTACTACCTTTTGTTCTGTAATATTATGTATTAAAGTTATAATTAATGGTATGCTTCTGATCTTTCATGTATGCTGTTATTACAAGTATAGCTTACCCTTTCAAAACAAAATTTAAACTGTTGGTATTTTCCTTGCACTCAAAATGAAAATTAAGTTAATGGAAAAAAAATCTCCTAAAGGCATTTATTTTCTACATACAGGTTTTCAATGTCACAATCTGAAGGGGAATGATATTAGTGAAATAACTAGTATGATAACTGAAATGAAACACATTCATGACCCTTAAAATCAAGTGTTCCTCACATTCATTTTTGTTACTACTGATCTAATGTTGTGCCCCTCTGCCCTAAAATGCTCCCATTTCAAGTTTTATTTATATTTTTCCAACTCTCAAAGCATTAATTAAGGACAATAAAATTGAACAACAACTCCATGTTTTTATAAAAAGAAAATGAGAGTTTTGCATAGTATCAATATATTAATATGATTTTCTTGAAGAACTATATATATCACAGGAAGAGACAACACATTAAATTAAAAACTCCAATGAAAAACATTTATATACATTAAACTTTGCTTTCTATATATTGCAGAAAAATTTAAAAGCCTCATCATTTATTGTCAGTAATATTCACCATTGTCTCAACAATACTGTGAGTGTATATGGCAATGATATTTTTAGATAATATATCAGTGAGTATGAGGACAATTTGGTTTTTTTTTTTTTTTTTTTTTTTTTTTTTTTTTGGTTTTTTCGAGACAGGGTTTCCCTGTGTAGCTTTGCGCCTTTCCTGGGACTCACTTGGTAGTCCAGGCTGGCCTCGAACTCACAGAGATCCGCCTGCCTCTGCCTCCCGAGTGCTGGGATTAAAGGCGTGCGCCACCACCGCCCGGCGACAATTTGGTTTTAACAATGATCATATGAACCACTTTGATGGGAAAGTAGCTCATTCATTTACAAATTCCCTAGCAAGCGAGTGGCTACTCATTTTTATTTTCTTAGAATTTCTAAAGACATTATTTTAAGTAGATTCAGTAAAGGAAAACAAATATATGACAACAAAGCATGCCCAGTTAAAATTTCATCATGGATTTGATAATATCTATAGTTCAGGATTATGAAGAGAGAATATTACTTTCCCTGTCAAATTGAGGCGATAGAATTAATAGTGTTTCAGCCTTTCAGATTGAATGAAGATGTGTTTAAATGAAAAATACGTTCAAGCAAGTTCTGTCTAAAACACAAACAGCTAATTCTACAAATAATTCAATGTAGAAAAGATTTATGACACCCCAGAAGCAGCAGAGCATTCCAGATAAAACCTTGGAAATTTGTGGTTTGTTTTTAGGATCTGGCTTTTTTTTTTTTTTTTTTTTCACACCATATGTCATGATTTCAAACACTTAAAATGATATTGGCTCTTTCTGGAAGGGAAAAAACAGAAGAGTATCTTGTGGAGGAACTACAGATATGAACAGACTTGTACTGAAATGCTGGCATCAGCTGGGGGAGTAACTCTGGTAGAGTGCTTACCCTCTGTGACAAGGCCTTAGGCTTATCACCAGCACAAAACCCACAAACAATAAGGTTTATATCAATATTGCTTTGTACTTAAGTTCATGTTTAACTCATGAAAACAATTATGACTAAATATAAAATCTGAACATGATATATGGAAAACAATGATTCTTATGTCCCTAGAGTTTTCTTTATAATCACATACTATGTGGAGACAACATTGGATCTTCCTTTCAGTGAAGACAATTGACATGGAGATCCTGATGTCAACTGAGTAGGGATCCCTTAGTAGCATTATTATCTACTTTTTAGTTATTCTGATTTTTCTATTTGATTTGATAACACACCAACTAGAATGTGATTGTGGCAAATTAAAGATCACTAGAAGATAAGTATGATATAGAAACATGGATAAGGACAGATATGTTACTTGAGAGAGTATCATTAACAGAATAAATACTTGTTGAATTTACAACTTGTGGGATAAATGTATGGCTAACCTGTACCTTATTTGATAATACAAAACTGGAAACAATTTGCCCTAGGGATGTGGCTCAATGCTACAACACCTTCATAGTATGCACAACTCTCTGTATTGTGTTATCCTTTATCCTGTTTTGACCAGTATTATTTCTTTAGTGGCTTTGATATTCTTTAAAAAAATGGTTATACTTAAGAGTAGGAGAATTATCCTTTGAAAATTTCTCTTAATATGAAACAAATCAAAGATTTTTTTTGAAGAAAAGATGGCATTGTGACTAATGAGTATAGCAATTTAAGAAAGGACATTGCTTTGTTTTCTCTATAAAAATTGCTTTTATTAGGAAAGTGTTATTTATTATAAAGTAGGAGTGACTTGACATCACTGAGATGCACAAGTATTGTAGTTGTCAGATTCTTTTGGAAAAACTGGTTTATTTAGATGTCCTTTACCTCCCTTAGACATTGAAGTTCTCTTGCTTGCTTCATTTTAAATGCAGTAATGTGAAAAGCTAAACTTTATTTACATTCTGTGATTTCAAAAGACACATCTGCCAACCAAACAAAAAACACTTGATCCAAGGGCAAAGAACTCAAGCTTTGATATATATAACTCAATAAAGAGTCTCAAAATAATTGATAATTATTCAATTGAATAATTATTGACCTATTGATAATTTGAATCTAAGTACTAGTCAGTAAAAGAGGTTAGTTCAATTACATCTAGACAACCTGTGACTTCTAGACCTTTCCAACTTCATTCCCAGAAGACATATGTATCATGTCACATCTCTGTATAACAAAACCCTACTGTTTTTCTAATAAATCTTTAAAACATCTGCCTAAAGTCTTGACTTTTAAAGGGAACAGTGAGAGAAATATGCAATATATTTTTATGCAACATAAGGTTTTTCTTCCCTTTGGCTCTGTTCATTCTAGTCATGGGTAATCACTTCTTTGCCTGGTTAATGGATCCTGTCGGAAAGGATTTTGTACAAGCTTTGAAGTGCATACATTACATCTGCTAGAAAAATTAGCTCAAGTGAGAGATTAGTTTCAGGTTTGGTTTGAAAAAAGTGATGTTTTTACAGGCTATCTGAAGAATGATTTTATATATGGACTGACTTCTGATGAGAGTATCTTAGAGAACCCACAAGTATGATTCCCTCTACCAAACAGAGTAATGGATGTTTGGGAAGAATTTTAAGAGATTCCAAGATTCAAAATACATCTTTCTAACAGGAATTGAAAATGCACTTCAAACTTGACTAGCTCCTGTTTGTTTAGTTTTATTCTATAGCAAGATCTAATCCCCCATGACAAAGTCACCATAGTAAACTGCAAAGAGGCTCCAATCTCTAAAATTTAAACTCAGGGATTAATAGTAGCCAATAACAGCATACTTAAATTCATTTTTGTGAAAAAATAATGTGTATGGGAGGCATGTTGTTTTGCTCAACTACAGTAAATAAAACTTATACCTTTCTGAACATTATAAAAATCAGAAAGGATGTTGGAAATGTTGATCATAAAAAGGAAAAGTTAGCCGGGCGGTGGTGGCGCATGCCTTTAATCCCAGCACTCGGGAGGCAGAGGCAGGCAGATCTCTGTGAGTTCGAGGCCAGCCTGGGCTACCTACCA